CCCCCCCCCCCCCCCCCCCCCCCCCCCCCGCCACTGGCACTCTGGTTCTTTCTCTCAAAAATAAGTACACATTAAAAAAATGAAAAAAATTATGGGAAGTAGAAGGTTGAGTGGCAGGACATTGGCATCAGAACACGGTGCCCAGAAGGCAAAATTCCTCTAATGAAGGGGTCCACACCCTTCCTGGGGGCCCCGGCTCTAACCGAAGTGCTTTATGACTAAATGCCTGGGTGACCCTCCCTGTGACCACGTGGCCCCGAAGGTGGAAGTGGGGTTTCCAGTCACTCTGCACACATTTGCTGAAGGGGAGTGAGTGACAGAATCCTTACAAACCCCTTGGGCCCAGGGCAGAGGAGGCCTTGGACAAATGTGAGCGGGGGTCACGCCCGGTCTTGTTTTTGAGTTTTACTACATCCCTGGTGCTGGCTGACTGCTTGGGAGTCATTCTCTCATCTGATCTCCGAGGCTGTCCAGGGAAGGGGCAATGTTAGGATCTGGGTCCATTTTGCAGATGGAGATGAAGGCTACGGGGTGGGATGGAGCTCGAGGAAACAGCTCTGGGCGGCAAAGGCACCTCAATCAGGGTCTCCTGCTGCTGCTTCCAGAGCGGGATTGAACACACGGTGAGGAGCCTTGGATTCTGCCGGAGCTCTTGTCAGCAGAGAGCAGTGGGTGTGGCAGACTTCCTGCTTTCCATTTTCCCAGGTGTTTTGGGTTGTTTTTAGTTTATGTATGTATGTTTATATATATGTATGTATGTCTACAGTTATCTATTTATTTATTTAGAGGCAGAGCCAGCAGGGAAGGGCAGAGACAGAGGGGGAGAGAGGGAGGATCCCAAGCAGGCTCTGCACTGTCAGCACAGAGCCCGAGGTGGGGCTCGAGCCCAGCAAACGTGAGATCATGACCTGAGCTGAAAGCAAGAGTCGGATGCTTACCGGACTGAGCCACCAGGAGCCTCCCTCCCCCCCGTTTTCCCAGGTTTTGTGTGGCAGATCTAACAGGCCCCTCTGGCTTCTCCATTATCACAGTGTAGCCCGAGGATGCTACAGCTTGTGTTGCAGGGTCCTGATGGCCAGCTCTATTGCCTGGACGTGATATAAATGAGAAAAAAAATCTGTTTATAATGAAAATGAGCCTTCCATTTGGGCTTTCCATTTTGGCCTAAATAGAGCTAAACAATTTTTTTTAACTCACTCTGATATGTAACGTGTTCCCAAGAAGTGCTCTCTAAAGAAATACAGGAAACTCATCTGCAGGTTAAGTGGGACCAGACCCAACATATTTCTAAATCTCTAACCTAAACGTTTTTTATATAAGAGCTCCGATGGGTCTGAAATTGCCCCAATGTTAGGAAGCATGGTATAGGATTTAATCCACTGTTCCCGTGAACACGCTGCTGCCCCGTGAAAATGGGGGCATGTGGGGGGGCCTGGGGGCTCAGTCAGCTAAGCGTCTGACTCTTGATTCTGGCTCAGGTCATGATCTCACGGTTCCTGAGATTGGGCCCCTCTTCGGGCTCTGCGCTGACAGCACAAAGCCTGCTGCTTGGGATTCTCTCTCTCCCTCTCTCTCTGCCCCTCCCCTCCTCATGCTCGTGTGCGCTCTCTCAAAATAAAATAAATAAACATTAAAAAGGGAAAAGAAACAGCCACATGTTTAGCAGTGCTGGGTAGCCGGGGACCCATCACCAAACCATAGAACCATGTTGAAAAGCTGGTGCTCCCAGCCAGCTTTCCTGCCTAAAAATGAACCACAGAAATCACTCTGGCTCCACATCTCTTTCAGCTACAGCCTTACTTTTTCTCTTCCTTCTCACAGCTCGACCTCTGGAAGCACTGTCAGCAGCCTGGCTTTCCACTTACCCTCACTGCTCCCGCACGCTGGTGTCCTCTGGTCTTATTCCTTTAAAGTCGTCTCTTCCTGGTAGTGAGGTCCGAGATGCGATTTATTTTAATTTATTTTTTGATTAAAAAAAGGTTTTTTAACATTTATTCATTTTTGAGAGATAGAGAGAGACAGCACAAGCAGGGAAGGCACAGAGAGAGAGGTAGACACAGACTCTGAAGCAGGCTCCAGGCTCTGAGCTGTCAGCACAGAGCCCGATGCAGTGATCAAACCCACGAACTGTGAGATCGTGACCTGAGCTGCAGTTGGACGCTTAACCTACTGAGCCCCCAGGTCCCCCCCACCCCCACCCCAGGCGCCAACTGGGGTGCAGTGCTGGTCCCCAGCAGTACCCATGGCAACCATTCTTCCTCAATGAGAGAATCCGCTTTGGAATCCATTGAGAGCAGCACTCGGAGCTGGTACACGGTGTGGGAGGCCAGCAGACCTCCCAGAGAGGGGGAGGCAGGGAGGCGGCGCTACAGGGGACTCGATCTCAGAGAGAGGTGGCCTCCCCTGCTGGCCCTGCCTGCAGTTTTCTCTAGACGCCAGCTTTCGTCAAAAAGGAATAACTACACGCATGTTACCATGGCTGGTACAGGGCCCGGCACACAGCTGATACTCAGTAAGTCGTTAAGGATTTTTTATCAGCACAACACACCGAGGAAAACAGCGGTTGCCGGGGCGCCTGGGGGGCTCAGTCGGGTGAGCCTCCAGCTTCAGCTCAGGTCACGATCTCATGGTTGGTGAGTTTGAGTCCCCGTCAGCCTTGCTGCTGTCAGTCTGGAACCTGCTTCAGATCCTCTGTCCCCTGTTTTCTCTGCCCCGCCTCTCTCTCGCTCCCTCTCTCTCTCTCTCTCAAAAACAAAAAATAAACATTCAAAAGATACAGGGGCGCCTGGGTGGCTCAGTAGGTTAAGCGTCTGACTTTGGCTCAGGTCACGATCTCACATTTCTTGGTTCGAGCCCCGCCAGGCTCTGTGAGCCTGCCTCGGCTTCTGTTTCCCCTCCCCCGCCCTGGCCCTTCTCCACCCCTCTCTCTTAAAAAGAAATAAACATTAGGGGCGCCTGGGTGGCTCTGTCGGTTAAGCATCCAACTTAGGCTCAGGTCATGATCTAGCGGTTAGTGGGTTCGAGCCCCGCGTCGGGCTCTGTGCTGACAGCTCAGAGTCTGGAGCCTGTTTCAGATTCTGTGTCTCCCTCTCTCTCTGCCCCTCCCCCACTAGCACACACACACAACACTCTCAAAAATAAACATTAAAAAAAATAAATAAGGGGCGCCTGGGTGGCTCCGTCAGGTAAGCATCCAACTTCGGCTCAGGTCATGATCTCGCGGTTCGTGGGTTCGAGCCCCGCGTCGGGCTCTGTGCTGACTGCCAGCCCGGAGCCTGGAGCCTGTTTTGGAGTCTGTATCTCCCTCTCTCTCTGACCCTCCCCTGCTCACGCCGTCTCTCTCTCCCCTAGAAATAAATAAAAATATTTAAAAAATAAAAAAATAAAAAATAAAGAAATAAACTTTAAAAAATTTTTTACAAAGATATAAATAAAGATTTACAGTGCAGTGTCACTCAGCAGCCGGCTAACAGAGGTCCTCACAGGTCTCATCCTGGTTTTGTTCTTTTCTGCTCGTGGATCTTGGTGGACGTAGGACGCCCCGCAAGGCTGACCTGCTCCAGCCCGGTGCACCGAGCCTGGGCTTGCAAAGCAGCCAGCTTATTAACCTGCAGTTATGATTCCAATTATCCAGTGAAATTTATTTATGCATTCACGATACGAGGTGCCCTGTCTTTGCCAGACACCAGATTGCCATCCACGGTGGGGACAGACTTGGCCGGGAGACCGAACATCTCCTGTGCCCCTTGGAGGACACGCCGTTCCAGGTGCTCACCTCCACTCAGGAATCCAAATTAGACAGCGGACGGGAGTTTCCAAAGGGATATTCTCAGCTCACTGTTGGTTGAGCTCCCAAAGGATCAATGGCTCCTTCCCAGCTCTTTCTCCCTTGGAAATGTCATGAGTCACAATGCTAATGTTTTCTCTCCAGCACTTCCTTCCGGAGAATTTTACATTTAAACACCTCCTCCGTGCAATTCACCAGGTGTTTCTGCATATGCGCATTACGGGCAGAACGGAAATCTGTGGTTATCATTTATTTGCTCCCTAAGGAAGTCATTGAAGGCCTACTATGTGCTAGGACTTGCCGAAAGCCGCTTGAAGATTCCCGTTATCTACTGCAGGTCCCAAGCCCATCATCCCTTTCGTCCGTCAGACTGCAAGTTGGGTGGAGCTTGGGGAAGAATCAATTGGGAAGAGTCCAACAGCGGGAGGCAGAATCTTCTGGAAGCATGTAACTTACATGTCTGGTCCCTGGGCTGGGATGCCAGGAAGGCTACTGAGCCACACACTCTTGGCCCCTTGGTGGAGCTTAGGCTCCTCATAGAACGGTGTCTCAGAAGAGACTTCCCAGTGAGCAGCCCAGGGTGGAAATGAAAGGATTCCAGTGAACTGAGTGGCCGAAGCTGAATAGACTTTTTATGACGCAGCCTCTGCAATCACTTGGTGTGGCCTCCACTGCTCCTCTGTGGGGTGAAGCGGCCACCAGCCCGTCCGGTCCCCCATGCACACACCCAGACCCCATCTTCTCAGGGGAACAGCATCCGGGAACTTGTGGAGTGTTTTAGAATGATGCCACTGAGTGTCAGGATAAGACTTGGTCTATGGGGTCCCAATCCAGATGCACTATAATTAGGGGCGGAACCCAGAGGATTCGGTGATGGGTAGGACTGGTCTCAAACTCTGGATCTTTTACTTACAGGTATGTGGCATTAGATAAACTATTTTATCTCTTTGAGTCTGGGTTTCATCGTCTGTACACCACACAATCGTTCCACCCTGGTGGTAACTGAATGAAACGAGGCTTGCAGAAGGCTAACGGCATCTGGCACAGAGTAGGTGTTCAAGAAATAGGAAAATGTGTGTTAACCCCTTATGTTATTGTGAGGGCTTCTGGTCAACAGCAGGCTGTTGGTGGTTAAGTTTTATGGGGAGTCAAAGTGACATGAGTTCTGTCTGTACAAGAGATCGCACCCCCATCCCCACACTGTTCAAGGGTCAACTGTATTAATAACAAAATGGAAAACACTTGCTTAATAATAATGAGGAGGACTAATTTTGCTGTTATCCTTATCGGTATTGTTAAGAATCACTGGTACGTAGAAAGCCTGAGATGTTTGCACTCTCCGCTTTCTTCCTCCCTGGTCCGGTCTCCCAATGGGGACTGCGCTTCTGGGTCGATTGACCCCCCTCGTCTGCATCTCTGTGGTCCTGGGAAGGAGTGGACTCCCAGTTCCCTCATTTACCAGCCTCCGGTTACTTCCGGCTCCCTCTGGTTATAGTGCCTTGGGTTCCTCTGTCATCTGTAAAGGCAGTTTGGTGCAGTGCATCCCTCCTCCTGGGGCATCTGGAGCTCTGTTTGCCTGAGGGGGTCGTGACTCATAGAAACATCCAGAGGACAGTGGGCTCAGACAGCAGGGAATGAAGAGGGGGTGGGACGGTGGGTGCTTCCTCCTTCCCTTCTTCTGCTTCCACCTTCTTTACTTCTCATTCTTGCTTTTGCTTTTACAAACATGGGACAATCTGGTTTTTTTTTTAATGTTTATTTATTTATTTTGAGAGAGAACACAGGAACAGTAGGAGGGCAGAAAGGGAGGGAGAGAATCCCAAGCAGGCTCCCTGCTGCCAGTGCAGAGCCTGACATGGGGCTCGATCCCACAAACCGTGAGATCATGACTTGAGCTGAGATCAAGAGTCAGACACTTAATCAACTGAGCCACCCAGGTGCCCCCAAACATGGGACAATCTTACATGTGATCCTCTGTAACTAAGTATTTGCATAATAAGGTTTCAGGTCAGGAGCCATAACTCTAATCCATGAAGTTCAACTTCATTTTAACAATAGCTGCGTAACAGCCCAGGTCGTGATGAGCCCTGGCACATCTATCCATTTCTCTGTTGACCTATATTCTATGGCAGGCAGACTTTTTGGGGGTTTGCCACAATCCCTCAGTTATGCATTAACCATAACATGTAAATCCGTGTAGATTCCTTCTTTCATTGCTGTAGGATGTATTTCCAGAGGTACAACTTGTATGTGTATTTTAAAAATTCATAAATATCACCAGATCCCCTTCCTCAAAGGTTATAGCAGTTACCCTCTCTTTAACCACTTATCTACTAATTATTCCTTACCCAGAAACCTCCGTGCTTCTATTTGGGTAGCTGCTCCCAAGCTTGGCCCTCTGAGTGGCTAGTTGGTGAAGCAAGGATTTGGAGAGTGAAGAGAAAGATATTAAAAGTGATGCCCAAATTTGCTGATTGAAATAGGTTTTATCATGTATGGGTTTGTTCTTTACTTTGCCTTTGCATTCTATTTAAAAAAATCAAAAACTTTAAAAAAAAAAAAGGGCCTTGTCTTTACAGAAATTCTGTCCTTTAATCTGTGAGTCCATGTAGGTGTCCTTGATATATTTTGTAATAAGGCACTTGAGAGGCTAATTGCATTGTATTTATAGCCTATAGAGGTGGTTTCCACTTTAGATGAGGTGCTTCTTTGGCAATGTACTAATAACCACAGGATCCAAGAGCCTCACCTCAGACTAATGCAGAAAAATTCAAAGGCAGGCTTGCAGGGGACCCCATAAAGGCACTGAACGGAACAGACAGACCCCCAGCAAGAGTAGAGAGGCCCACAGCGAAGCCGCCTGTTTCATGTGATTATCATGCCTTCCTGGTTTCCCACAAACCTTGGCTTTCCAATCTGCCCTGACGTTCACCTTTGCGTTGACCGTCCTGAGCTCCTGCTGTTCAGATGTCTAAATGTGTCTGGAGGGCCTGACCACCTGCCCGTGGCTTCTGGTCCACTCTTGCCCAATGCCCCAGGTCAGACTGCTGCTCACTTCTGACCATGGCCGTTCCCTTAAGATTTCACTGCTCCTTTCAGACGAATGAAGTCACTGGCCTGCCTCGCTTTACTTTTCCCCCCCTCTTTCTCTCTTCATCTCCCCGTTAAATTGTCCAGTTAACACTGGCCAGTTCCTGGTCACTGTGAATCTCTCTGGATATGCATCATTTCTTCCCTTAATTAGTTGGTTTGAAATGGTAATACCAGTAAATATGGATGGAACACATGGTGGGCATCTGTGTTCTGTGAACTAGGCTGGGCCTGCAGACACAGCAATTCTGTGAGTAGAAATACTACTGTAGGGGTGCCTGGGGGGCTCAGTCGGTTAAGCGTCTGGCTTCGGCTCAGGCCATGATCTCCCAGTTCATGGGTTCAAGCCCTGCGTCGGGCTCTGTGCTGACAGCTAGCTCAGAGCCTGGAGACTGTTTCAGATTCTGTATCTCCATCTCTCTCTGACCCTCCCTTGCTCATGCTCTCTCTCTCTCTCTCTCTCTCTCTCTCTCTCAGAAATAAATAAAACATTTAAAAAAAAAAGAAATACTACTGTATTTGGTAAGCTTAGAGAGGTTTAGTGACTTGCCCCAAACACACAGGTAGTAAGTGGCACAGGTAAGCTTTGACTTTGACATCTACACTGCCCATCAGAGGGTCCCATCTCCTGGGGG